TAAGTCTAAGACAAAATTTGATCTCAAGTCCTAAGACTGCCCCTGAGTAGACTTAAGACAAAATTTGTAGCCAGAAAGATGGCGGAGGTTGTTCGCCTCATGCGTCGCCTAAGGGCTAAAAAGGACAAAATAGCCATTCATCGGATATTTCGAGACCGATTCAACCCTCTTGATCTGTACAACGACGAAGAGCTTTTTGAGAGATATAGATTTCGTCGTTCTACCAAATTTTTCATCGTTGGTCTAACCGGTGATGAACTGGCATAGATTCTACCCCACTCAGCGTTCCCCCAGTCTCCCACCTATTATTCAAGTTTTTATATTCCTTCAGTTTGTTGCCACGGGGGCTTTTCACATTTTAGTTGCTCAGTCGTTTTGTGTCAGCCATATTGGATAGTGTTTACAAAATCATGTTATACGTACACGGGTAATGAGACGCATATACCATCACGTATATTTCAAATCAGCTGCGATACCTACATCCTTGAATTCCTCATACATTTTAGAATCGAATGCCAAATGGTCTTTGTCACCAATACATATTGTCTAGATGTAATGAAGCAAAATAAATGAGGTGTGAAAACGAACGCTGAAAAAAGTGCACTTGTTGGAAATGTAAACAAAGCCATTCATCTATTCGTTGAATACATTGGCTCAGCATTTTCACAATATACACGGGAAGAGAATCCTAGGGAGATTAGGGAATTAAATATATATACATTGCAATGATTTGACATTTTCAACAGAACTTATAGAAGTTCCTGTCCAGTGTGACGCCATGACTGACACAAAATCACTCACAACGACAACGGTATTTATCGGAATTTCTGACTATTTCCTTTAATTTCAATGAAAAATATGACAACAAATAACAGTACACAGATTGTCAGAATGGGTCTGATTACTTACATGTCACATTTATGTATATACGAACCCTGAATTACCGAAAGTCCCCTTGTAAAATCCCTTATACTGTTGACAGTCAACACGCCATTTTGTAAAAGTCGGTCACCGGTAGTGATGTCATACGTCAACATTGTTGTACATATTATGTAATTTCTTTGAGGTGAAGGTCCTTGAATGCAAGTACACACGATCATTGTATCCTGCTATTTACAGTTTCAATTATGATGTAGATCGTGCATGTCTTATGTACATTTTTTCACACATTTAATTTCACTTTGGATATTAATCAATGTTCAATATAATATCATACGTAGATATAGGTCACAACATGTTTACATATGAAATTGATAAGTTTATAGTGTCGTATACGATATTTCTTTAATTTGGACAAGTGTTACAAGACCAAATGTAAATGTAACTGCAACATGTATGTATTTCTAGGGAGTGTAATAGTCAATATTATAAGTTCATATAAACAGTGTCCATGAATAGCCATTTCATTTTATTTTATAACTAAAACTGACGATATAACTTAACCAAAATAGATATTATTTTTCGTTAAAATATATGCACACATTTCTATAAGAATCGTCTTGGTCTTGGAATTTTTTTATGCCGTTTGACATACAGAACAGTGATATCTAAGGGTTCACCAGGTGCACGTTAGTCACAAACAATTTATGAATCATTCCTCCCGTTTTGATTATATAATCAATGGGTTCATCCTTTTTCTAAATATTGTGACCACGGGTTATTAAACTGTTAACTTTATTTCTCCAAGAATTGTAAAAAGGTTAGAAATATAACCCGTGCCATGTACCCCGTTGGTGGACAATTATCCTTACACGATTATCCTGATAATTCTATACCAAGAGAGCTTTCTGCGCATCTTTTATTGTATAATTCTGAGACGAGAGGAGAAAAAATTACATAATAATGAACAAATACATGTCCAATATTAAATAAAAAATTTTGTTTGGTTTGAAATAATATTTTGAGTACTTGATTACGTAAAATTGATGCCAAACAGGTGCATGTCTTGTCCAATTAAGATACACTGTACATTATAATCAAATTGTTTATCTATTCAAAACATTATTTACATGGTAAATGCAGTCTTTTTATGTTGTGTCGAAAAAGCGTCAAATTCCGTTATACACATGGACTTTTTCCCTACCATGAACGAAACTTATGGGAGATATATATCAATCAAAATACCAGTGTCGTCTTTCTCTGACTTTATCAAAGACATACAAGCAGCCATGACGTCCGATAGAATTGTGTCATTTTCTTAGCAATTCATTACATTTGATGATACTGCAGGCGATCCAATTCTAAAGGTGCAACATTAGTCAAATTACACTTGCACAATCAGGAGAATGTTGGAATCTAAGGACTAATTTATGGTTTATATAGGGCCATCCATTTCGCTATTACTTATTTTTTATGAAGTACAATTTCATCATTTCTGATGGGTTTTTTATGCCTAAACGTATACAGTTTCAATATCGATATTTGTGTTGGAATAGTTTGGTTCCTCGTGAACAAAACACCACGAAAATACACTGTCCTTACCCATAGCTAATTCTCACCAAGTGACCTTAGTAACAATAAACTTGTGCTAAGCATAGCAGAGTTATGCCCCCTTTCCTTTGAATGTGTGTAACCTCTCTGTTGCCTTTTGACGTCATAGAGGTAAATCGTCATTTTGTGGCAGGCTATTTTTTGCATTGAATTTATGTCGTTATACATACTCATATAACTCCATTTGATATATATTTATGTCGTTCAAATATTAGGCAGTATTTTGTTCGCTCACAGTTTCGTTAAAGCTGCTAAATAAAATTTTTTGTTGCACAGTACTTTTATTGGTGTACGCTAAAAAGCGGAGAAATTTCCTGTTTTTCGACGCAGAATAAATTCTCGGACAAAACATGGCAGTGTCTTTTTTTCACACCCGTTTAATATTTACAGTTAAATTTACACCATCAGATAGGAAATTTAATATTCTACATCTCTGCGTAATTTTATAGCCGGAGGTAGATCCAGTGCCGAGTGAGCGCAATTCTTGCACAACCTTCACTTTTCCGATCTTAGGAAAATGTGCGTCAGAAAAATAACCTCGGCATCCATTGATTACCGTAGTGCGATATGTCCTTATGATGATGGTCTTAAACTTAGACTTAGCTAAGATTTTGCTGAGACCGTTTCAAGATCCAGTCTTAGACCGAATCTCAGCTAAGCAAAATCTCAAAAGCTTAAGACAAAATTCATGCTTAGCAAAATTTGAGCTAAGACCACTTTCATGATTCCGGGGCCAGAAGGCCAAATTCATGCCTTGCGCCTGGGAAATTGCTCAGAGGTGCGTATTTTGAACCACTTCACTGGATTGAAGACGAACAAGAGCGCCTATGTCCGGTACAGGCTCTGCAATGTTTCATCCGATGCTCTAAGAACCGTCGGGAAAACATCGCCGCCTCTTTATACCAATATCTCCAACATCGCAGGCAGAAGTTAGCCGCAACATGATCGCCCTGTGACTTTGCGTCCTCATCCTTCACTGCCACAAGTCGCCACTGACGCTTCCACTTGTCCGGAGCTGACCTTTCGACCTCTCCGGTGCGTGTCATCCCAGACAAGAAGGTTACATGCAGCATGCATTGGCTTGGTACATCAGTATAAGATTTTAACTCTGTATAATTCTCTTACTGCAATGATACCGGGACATCATTCATAACTGATCTCTCCCTCTCAGCTGACAGGAATGGTCCCTCGATGCGGGACATCGATGTTGCTGATTGGTGTAGTCTATTGTCTATTGAGAGTCGGAAGATCACATCTGAAGGTATGCCCTCCACAATACCGTCAGGTTAAGATGCATTTATAGGGTAATGCAGGATAAGTTAAAAAATCTAGACACCACCCAGATGTTTTTTTATATTTGTATACTTATCCTACATTACTACATCTAAGGTGGCTCACCCGTTGCAGAGCTGCCTCCCCACGATGTCTTCAGATAGTGCGATCTAGCAGTAATGTGATGATACTTGACGTCAGAACTTCTTGGTCACGTGGGAGCTGTGTGATGGGATTAGCCACACAACCAGTTGGAACAACCATGTCTTCAGCAAGACCTCACACAGCTCTTTTTTCTGTCAAGAACAAGCAGTAAATGCATTAAGGATAAGTATACAAATATAAAAAATATCTAGGATTTTACTAGATTGTAAAGGTCATGTCCTCATTGATATTACTTTGTGTAATGTGAGGAGGTTCCAACAAGTGTATGAAGAATATCATCTTTTGAAAGGCAACACCAAGTTACTGCCTGCATGTGTTTTCGAGCAGTCAACCAGAAAATTTGAACAGTGAGAAAAACAGCAAGAATGGAGAAACCTTGAGAAGCGAAATGTGATTAAGTACCTGCTTCAAAAAGGGCATGTCTCCATAGGAAATCATTCTTGATTATCAAGCATATTTGTATTGATTCTATTATGATAAATATCCTTTTTGGGGAATTAATGTCACCATTTCCATCTCTCGTATCTAACCCGGCAAAGAATTTCTCTCAATCTTAAAAGTTAATTGACTAAATTGCTTTTTATTGCTTCAGAACGAAACTATGTTACCTGAGGGGTCCAATGGGTTTATCATGATAGAAAGGAGATGTAATACACTGGACAGCTGGGGATGACAGGAAATACACAAAGATATGAGGAACTAGTTTGGGAATCAGAGGACTGCCCTTCATATTTAACTGTTAAGAAATTGACTGCTGAATTTAAGTGAACAGAAGAAGCACAGATGATGATCCTAGATCTGGTTGTCCTGAAGAGAGAGCATCTGAGACCCAAGTGGAGGGTTCATGGTTATGGTGTTACTGTTCAGCTGCTGACTCATAACAACTACTGTCACAAGTTTACATAAGTTTAAGTAGTATCCCCAACATATAAGAGCATATTATAGAGTAAGAAGTCTACACATGAGAACAAACCAGGTGACTTAGATTTGAGAATCAGAGAATCACACAAATTCAGAATTAATTCATTTCCTACAAATTTGATTTTATCTATGCTTTTTCTGCGTTTTTTTAGGAAATAACTGGCATAATCAACCTTTTGGACCCTGATGGAACTGGCATTATAGGCTTTGGTGACTTCTGTGAAGGGGTGAAACAGTTAGCAGCAATTCAAACACAAGGTAAGGTAATGGAGCATCCTTTTCAGAGATAAGGCTGCTCAGCTAAGTTGAGCAGTCTGGGAATGAAAATGTTTGTTAACTAAAAGTTGGAATTTACGAGATAAATATGCAAACCTGAACTGCACAGTGTACCCCAACACTATACAGTATGTCCTAACACTGTACAGTATACCCCAACACTATACAGTATGTCCTAACACTGTACAGTATACCCCAACAATATACAGTATGTCCTAACACTGTACAGTTTACCCCAACACTATACAGTATGTCCTAACACTGAACAGTATACCCCAACACTATACAGTATGTCCTAACACTGTACAGTATACCCCAACACTATACAGTATGTCCTAACACTGTACAGTATACCCCAACACTATACAGTATGTCCTAACACTGTACAGTATACCCTAACACTATACAGTATGTCCTAACACTGAACAGTATACCCCACCACTATACAGTATGTCCTAACACTGTACAGTATACCCTAACACTATACAGTATGTCCTAACACTGTACAGTATACCCCAACACTATACAGTATGTCCTAACACTGTACAGTATACCCTAACACTATACAGTATGTCCTAACACTGCACAGTATTCCCCAACACTATACAGTATGTCCTAACACTGTACAGTATACCCCAACACTATACAGTATGTCCTAACACTGAACAGTATACCCCAACACTATACAGTATGTCCTAACACTGCACAGTATTCCCCAACACTATACAGTATGTCCTAACACTGTACAGTATACCCCGACACTAAACAGTATGTCCTAACACTGTACAGTATACCCCAACACTATACAGTATGTCCTAACACTGAACAGTATACCCCAACACTGTACAGTATGTCCTAATACTGAACAGTATACCCCAACACTGTACAGTATACACCAACACTATACAGTATGTCCTAACACTGTACAGTATACCCCAACACTATACAGTATGTCCTAACACTGCACAGTATACACCAACACTATACAGTATGTCCTAACACTGCACAGTATACCCCAACACTAAACAGTATGTCCTAACACTGCACAGTATACCCCAACACTATATAATATATCTTAACACTGTACAGTATACCCCAACACTGTACAGTATGTCCTAACACTGCACAGTATACCCCAACACTGCACAGTATACACCAACACTATACAGTATGTCCTAACACTGCACAGTATACCCCCAACACTATATAGTATATCCTAACACTGTACAGTATACCCTAACACTATACAGTATGTCCTAACACTGCACAGTATACCCCAACACTATACAGTATGTCCTAACACTGCACAGTATACACCAACACTATACAGTATGTCCTAACCTTGTACAGTATACACCAACACTATACAGTATGTCCTAACACTGCACAGTATACCCCAACACTATATAGTATATCCTAACACTGTACAGTATACCCTAACACTATACAGTATGTCCTAACACTGTACATTATCTCCCAACACTATACAGTATGTCCTAACACTGTACAGTATACCCCAACACTATACAGTATGTCCTAACACTGCACAGTATACCCCAACACTATACAGTATCCCAAAACTATCCTAACAATGTACAGTATACCCCAACAATGCACAGTACATCCCAACACTCTACAGTATACCCCAACAGTGCACAGTATATCCCAACACTGTACAGTATATCCCAATACTAATTTAACACTGTACAGTATATCCCAACACTGCACAGTATATCCCAACACTGTACAGTATATACCAACACTGCACAGTATGTCTTAACACTACATGGTATATCCTATATCCAAACAATGCGCGGTGTGTCCCAACACTGCACAGTTTATCCCAACACTGCACTGTTTATCCCAACACTGCACAGTTTATCCTATATCCTAACAGGGGCGGACGGGTAGCCTAATGGTTAAAGCGTTCGCTCGTCACGCCGAAGACCCGGGTTCGATTCCCGACATGGGTACAATGTGTGAAGCAAATTTCTGGTGTCCCCTGCCGTGATATTGCTGGAATATTGCTAAAAGCGGCGTAAAACCATACTCACTCACTCACTATATCCTAACACTGCACGGTATATCCCAACATTGCTCAGTATATCCCAACACTATACAGTATATACCGACACTGCACAGTATATCCTAACACTACATGGTATATCCTATATCCCCACTATGCACAGTATGTCCCAACACTGCAAGGTTTATCCCAACACTGCACTGTTTATCCCAACACTGCATAGTATATCCTATATCCTAACACTGCACAGTATATCCTATATCCTAAAACTGCATGGTATATGCTATATCCTAACACTGCATGGTATATCCCAACATTGCTTAGTATATCCCAACACTGGACGATATAACCTTTATCCTAGCCCTGCATGGTATATACTATATCCTAACACTGCACAGTATATCCCAACACTGGATGGTATATCCTATATCCTAACACTGCACGGTATATCCCAACACTGGACGGTATATCCTATATCCTAACACTGCATAGTAGATCCTATGTCCTAACATTGCACGGTATATCCCAACACTGGACGGTATATCCTATATCCTAAAACTGCATAGTATATCCCAACACTGGTTGGTTTATCCTATATCCTAACACTGCACAGTATATTTTATATCCTAACACTGCATGGTATATCCTATATCCTAACACTGCATGGTATATGCTATATCCTAACACTGCATGGTATATCCCAACATTGCTTAGTATATCCCAACACTGGACGATATATCCTTTATCCTAACACTGCACGGTATATCCCAACACTGGACGGTATATCCTATATCCTAACACTGCATAGTATATCCTATGTCCTAACACTGCACGGTATATCCTATATCCTAAAACTGCATAGTATATCCCAACACTGGTTGGTTTATCCTATATCCTAACACTGCACAGTATATTCTATATCCTAACACTGCATGGTATATCCTATATCCTAACACTGCACGGTATATCCCAACACTGGACGGTATATCCTATATCCTAACACTGCATACTACATCCTATATCCTTACACTGCATAGTATATCCTATATCCCAACACTGCACAGTATATCCCAACACTGAATAGTATATCCTGTATCCCAACACTGCATGTTATATCCAAACACTGCACAGTATATTCTATATCCTAACACTGCATGGTATATCCTATATCCTAACACTGCATGGTATATCCTATATCCTAACACGGCACGGTATAACCCAATATTGCTTAGTATATCCCAACACTGGACGGTATATCCTATATCCTAACACTGCATACTATATCCTATATCCTAACACTGCATAGTATATCCTATATCCCAACACTGCACAGTCTATCCCATATCCCAACACTGCACAGTATGTCCCAACACTGAATAGTATATCCTGTATCCCAACACTGTACGTTATATCCAAACACTGCACGGTATATCCTATATCCTATCACTGCATGGTATATTCTCAATCCTAACACTGCACTGTGTATCCTATATCCTATCACTAGGTACCGGCAGCCAAAATTTTAACTACCTTTTTTTGACATAACAAATTGACTTTTCTTAAACTTTCAAAGAATACAAGCTAAACAAAAAAAAAGAATTATTAAGATATCTTTATTAGTTGTCATAGACGTGGGCAAATTTAATTACATTTGGACAAGTTCAGCATTTATTCATAAAAAACAAAGACTAACACAAGCAAACAAAAAGCATTTGAACAAAATATATATAACTCTAAACCATTTGTAGAATTACTGTCTACATCTGAGGACATATAATTAGACATATTGAGCTCTAAAAATTGAAAAATGTTGGAAATTAAACTTGAAAATTTAGTCGTTTACCACATTTCACATCACCTTAAAAGGAATATTTCTGACAGCAAAAGGCATACAAAACATTTTCCAAACATAATTGGTTATATATTTGAACTCTATTTTTTTTCAGGTCTTTGATAATACAATTGAACCTGTTAGAAGCTACCAAAGATGACAAAATCTTAAATTTTGGTGGCGGAAAAATGTCAACAGATTGCCTGTTTGCATAATTTTTCATTTTTCTCTAATTCCTATACTATTCAAGCAGTAAAACTTTGTAGACTAATAGTCCACATGTCTGTCAATGACATATTCAAATAACAATATATTACAGTAATAAATGATGTCTAGAACAAATTAAAAATATGGAATATGTCACAAGGACAATCAACCGAGGTGAATACCAATTCATTGTTTTATACATACGACACAATATACAACAATGAATAGGGCCAAATTCAATGTTTCAATTTCATTAGTTTCAATAGTTTGATTGTCAACATGTCTAATATTGTCAACATCTTTGTTTGTTGCTGCTGCAACAGCTCTACTAAAACAACAAAATACTACTTGAAAACTTAGCTGTGTGAATAAAAATTCTACTAAAACAACAAACTACTACTACTACTACTTGAAAACTACTACTACTACTACTTGAAAACTACTACTACTACTACTTGAAAACTACTACTACTACTACTTGAAAACTACTACTACTTGAAAACTACTACTACTACTACTTGAAAACTACTACTACTACTACTACTTGAAAACTATTACTACTACTACTACTTGAAAACTACTACTACTACTTGAAAACTACTACTACTACTACTACTTGAAAACTACTACTACTACTACTACTTGAAAACTACTACTACTACTACTACTTGAAAACTACTACTACTACTTGAAAACTGAATAAATACGAATTGGAAAGATTTTCTTGTTTGTTTGTTGTTTCCCGCCGCACTTAGCAGTATTCCAGCTATATCATCATGAGTATATGACGGCGGTCTGTACATAATTGAGTCTGGACCAGACAATCCAGTGATTGATATCATGAGCATCAATCCATGCAGCTGGGATACAATGACATGTATCAACCAAGTCACCGAGCCGGACCACGTAAGTTGCCTC